CGGAAACGCCCATTGTGTGCGCCCTGAAGCATGTTATTGAGTCCCTTTTAGAGCTTACCCATACAATGGTTCCTCTAGGGAGGGAGAATACGGGGTTTTATACCAAACCGTTGAGAGACTCTTCCTAATAATCTCATTCTATCCATTTTTATGGATCTTGGCAAATTTAAGGTTTTACTTGTTTGGTTTGAAGAAAAATAGAGGATCAGAAGAATCCATCCAAGTGCTCCTTAAAGGCAAGATTCAGGATTAAATTGATGGGGAAATTCTACTCAAATGTGAAGTAGGGGTGGAAAGTGGACTGCCAATGAAGAAAGAAGGAAAAACATTCGTAAAATACACAGGAAATACGAGCCTTTTGCTCGAGGTTGCGGAGAAGATCAAAAGGCCGGCAGGGAGGTGAGAGATAATGTGAGCGCGGAGAGCGCTAGAGAAGTACGAGTAGAGAGAGCATAGCAGATCAAGTCAGCGACGCGGACAAGATATCGAGCGGTGGGCGGAGCGTGTCGCAGCAGGTGGAGCGTGTCAAAGTCCTTAACGTCTAGCGTCTTAGTGACGCGTTTCGATGCAGGAACGTGGCGCGCCTTCTGCAGTTGCGTCCCACGCACTTCTAGCCACTATAAGGGCTTATTAAGTGGGTCTGAGCCCGAACTTTGCCTTAAAGGACGAATTCACGATGAAAAAGCAACCCATTTCAAATTAACCTAGGGATGGTGAGTGGTACACGAAAGAAGGAAGAACCATGAGAAACGGCCCAGAACCCGAGAAATGGGACCCCTTCCTTGCCCGTTGATTTGAGCATTGATGCGACTCTCATCGCTGTGCCCTCTTCAACACTACGCTCTCTCACCTATCTAATCACTCGCCACGTATAGACCTGCGGCGAGTGATCAGATGATCGGTGGGCGTGCACTGGCCCACCGCGCCAAGATTGAGCCTTAATAGGTCGCCGAGGTCAACTCCTTCGGTGCCAATTGCGCTTCAGTCCGCACCCTTAGAGGTCCGCGGGTCCCTCAACTAGGTGAATTACTCCTTCTTCGACCTTCATTCTAATCGCAAATTCGTCCTTTTCGGCAACGCGATAAATTAATGCTGATAGGAAAAGAGTGGGGAAACTAGTAGGCTCTCCGGTTCGTTCCAGATCCCTACTTCCAAGAACCGTCCATCTATTCAGGAGGGTACGATAATGTTTGGCCCCTGGTCAGAGTTATCAGTACTGCTTGAAAGTCTTGTGATCGTTTACCAAACGAAAAGTCATATTTATTGAATACATCTTGATCACAATTAAAACGCAAAGGCGAGATAGAAGTTCGTGTAATGTTTGTATAACAACAAAAACATGATGTTTGAGGAACTGAACTGAGGGAAATGATATCTGCTCATTAGGAGCTACATTACAAAAGGAGGGAAAGGCTTGATTATAAAGGTCCTAGTGGCGAGTTTTTGGGTACAATATGTGTGGTGTGTGTGGGTCTGTCCGTGATATCAGTAAGCACCGAACAAATGGTACAACAACATACACGATTTTCAGAACAGCATAGTAGTTTCACCCGCTTCCTTTGAAAGGCAGAGATTTCGTGGAGTAGAGGAAGTGGGGAGCCTACCGAGGTGTTCTGGAGATTCTTGCATTTCAAGTGAAGCGGGCAGACATGTGCAACGTATGAAACGACGATGGACGCTGTGATCTGCGTTCTGAACCACAACTATAGAAACATACATAAAAATCTTCAACAAATATATGATTAATCTCTGGATAACTCTAAAGGCACCATTGCAGTGACCAACAATATTAAAATATTCGACAAAAAAAGAATTTACGTACGAATAGAGCAATCATTTGCACGGATCAGAGTACTCGTACATAAAGGATTCCTATTCATCCTAGAAGAGAACAAAGAAATCGGACTGAAATTGCGGTCAAAGTAAGACACTTCACATACATTGTGATAAGCGAAACAGAATGGAAGAGAATAGAATGGAGTTCGTGAGCCCGCCGTCGGGGAAAACCACCTCGTTTCGGCTCCAGCGTAACTCGTGCACTTGACTAGAGACTAATCACTAATTATTAACTAAAAACCTTTAACTATGCAGTAGGCTTCGAGCGCTGATAAGCTCAGGTATAAAAACCATAGGCAGATGAAGAACGTCGATGTTAAAATCTGAATGAGAGCATTTTAGAAATGCGGTATTGGCGCAAATACGAAACCCATCGCCTCCTGGATTATAAACGTTCAAACATTACTGTAATTTCGCGTTCCGGTGTTGAAGAGGTATAGTGAGGACGAAAGCGATTCCCACAGAACCAGGTTCAAGATAGTTGTGAAGGAGGCGTGGAGAATGTGGGACAGGGTTACCCATGAAGCATACAGTATGCTTCGAGTGCGGATAGGGTCAGGTATAACAACCACAGACCGACGAAGAACGCAGATGTCACAATCTAAATGAGCATGTTGGAAATCAGCACGAATATTTTGTGATTTTCCCAACATCGAGATTTTCCCTTGAGGAGGACCGTATTTTGTAATTCTATGGATGGGGATCAAATTTGGAAAAAGTGTCTATTTCGGAAAAAAAAGGAAGAAACATGGGAAAAGCAGCTTTCTGAAATATGGGACAATTACGTGTAAAAGATGGAGAATTTTCAAAAAACTAAGGGCCCGTACGGAGACGTACTTGTGTCGAGATGAGCCAGGTTCAAACGACATTATGAATGCCATCGTCTTGGAGACCCCTCCAGAGGGTGTTCAATTTCAAATTTTTCCTCGAGAGTTGGCCCTACTGTTGGTGTCAGGTCATTAAACTGCGACGGCATGACGGCTACGTGCCCGAATGATCCATACCTCAGTGGGAACTGTGCATGAAATGGTTATTTGGTCAACATTCTCCAGCTTACGTCATCTCCTCTACGAGACACTACTTCCATGTTTCGCTTAGACAGTTCGGTATGAGTTTGCTGTTTGTGGGAAACAGCTTCAGCAATATCCGTCATTCTACGAGACGATGGAACGAATGCGACTGTGACATTTTTCGCTTGGAGTGCGTTCAGACTTTGCGACGAATCGATTCATATGCGAAAGGTGCGCCCCCCCCCCTCAGCGCGTTGAGATCGCACGGAGATCAAAAGAAAATAAGTACGAAAAAGAGCGCCGTATATTTCTTCGCCGCATCGCCTTGATCCTTACTTTTATTCACCATCACTATCACCCTCGGTTGCGACCTTCTGCTGGCAATGTGCTGAGTATAAACGCAGCCTTATAGAGAGGGTGTGTTTGAACCCTTAGAAGTCTTGTTTATACTTAGTAATGTGCACACGTTTGTTGTGAAAGCCTACCTAGTGGTCACTAACTGGCGCCTCCCTCCTTGAGAAGACCGCCTCGCAATTAATTCTGTTGAAAATTAGTTGCCACTTACCAGGAAAGGCATTCAACTTCCCATGGAACTTTGAGATGAGACCCAGATATATCGATAGAGCTTCAAACGCTGATTACAAATATGGAAACTAAAACTGCAAAAATGAACCTGCCAAGGAAGTTGTGAGCAGTCAAAGTTGGCTGGAAGTAAAGCATCACACTAGCCTCCAAGGCTTTCAGAGTCGCCCTTGGAGCAGAGTTTTAAGAGCGGAGCAGTGGTGCCCTCGCCTATTCACTCTGGAGGTCATAAGCTCTCCTACAGTCGAGCGCAAATTCCGAGAGCACTACCACTACTTCGGGACTTTGAAAGCCCGGAGGCTAGTGTAATGCTTCACTTCAGCCCAACTTTGACTGCTCACAACTTCCTTGGCAGGTTCATTTTGCAGTTTTTAGTTTCCATATTTGTATAGGGCGGAAGTGGTGTAGTGACAAGTGGCGCGCTTACCACGCGAGCGGTCCGGGGATCAAATCCTGGGTCGTGAGTCGCCCGGGCCAACCAAGCCTTCCATCCCTCCGGGGTCGAATTGGTACCAGACTTGTCTGGGAGGATAAAAACACTGACTTGTACATCGGCTGGCCCCCGCAAGTCATTGTATAGGCCACATCGCATTCAAACGCCACTACGAATGTACAAATGGAAGTAGAATGCGTGCCGCATCCCAAAAAGGGATTGATCAACGGCAAATGCTTTATCCTTTTATCCTTTATTTGTTGATAGCGTTTGGAGCTCTATCGCTACACCTGCTATCATCTCAATTCCATGGGAAGTTGATGCCTTCCTGGAAGACTACATTAACTCCACTCATACTAATAGTGGAATAGTCCCTTAAAACGGTCAACTGAACATGCTGAAAATATGAAGGTAATCAAGAATATAGAAGCGTACCCTGAATTTTATAGGGCCTCCAAGCTCTCCACCAACGAGTTTCCCTCTCCTTAGTACGATGACTGTGATGCAGGCGCACGCCTCCAAACAGAACACCAATACGGAGAAACCGAGGTTTCCAGGGTCGACAAGGAACCTTAAATCAAATCATTAGCACTGAACCACAGATTTCTTGAATAAAAACCTAGCCGCAAGCCAAATCACTTTGAATGAACCTAACACAAAGATCGGAGCCTGTCAGATAACACTAAGGTTTCCAAAAAAGAGGAGAAATCACTGACTTCGTTCCATTGAAGAAGTGATAGATGGCTGCCATGGACCAAGCGATTCCGATACCAAGGAATACGTTGACTGCGTTTGATCCGGTCACATTACCGATGGAATTATCAGCATATTTGTCCTGTACAGCAGGGGACACCTTTGACGCGAATGTATCTAAACATCGGTGATTTTTGAGCTCACATTCAGTCTCAAGCTTTTTCAGCAATGCAAGTACATGAGCACGCAGGAAAGATCAATCCTTTAGGAAGCCTCCTCTATACAACTTCCCATCGAAAGCTCGTGGGTTTTTTTGGCTCGAATTGAAGCCCTTGATCAGAGCAAACCAGGTGGCTATTCTTCGCCTCAGATTTAGAAGCTCAAAATCACCGGGCAAATTAACAGCTCCGTTTCTTAGATTTTGAATATTCCCTTCGCTAAATTTTTCCTTCAGATTGTTGGCCGAATTGAGCTGCTTCTTGGTTCTCAAATAATACGCTAACAAGTGAAGCCACAGTAAATTAATCACTAACAATCTCAAGCAGTGTTTACAAATTTCAAAAAAGAGTTCTTCCTTTTTGAAGTCTTGAAAATAGCAACTCACGAACCGGGTACAGAGGTTCCGAGAGCGACGAATGAAATGGCAGTGACGGAATCCTTGAGGCCGACCCAGCAACCAAACTGTGACGCCAAATCACCGATGACTGCTGTCAGGACGCCGATCATGAAGATCGAGACGACGAAACACGCCCAACCTCCCCAATAATCTGGAACAGTCACAAAATGATTAAAAAATCTATTAGGTCGGTCCATAAGTCTTGCAACAAACTACATTTAATGCTATAGAAATTTTAGGGAGAACTCCTGAACATATTTCCTGACGTAGCATCAACCTTTGCAATTTCAGCCAACGGTCCAGCTCGTTGTCTGCTTACTTATTATGGATATTACACCGATTTCGCGAGAGGGCTCTCGATGCCCTTAATTTTTACGAGTACTGCTTGGAATGTTCCGCAAGTCATGCTAGACCAAGGATTGGCCAGAAGATAGGCGAGGGCAAGCTCTCTCAAACCACAGTGCAACGGCGCTTCACTCTGCTCAGCGTTGACTTTTTTTATTTGAAAATAACCCACACTCCAACCACCCTGTGACTGACAATCACGATGCTCTATCTGACGCTGTTGAAAAGGGATCTGGATAGAGTATCGATCATTTGCTAGAGCGATTCCGATGCGACAAGGAGACAGCACTGTGGCATCTCCAAAGACTTGTGAAGATCCGAAAATGTAGAGTTTGGTCCCCACGTGCCTTGAGCCCGATTCAGCTCCAAACACGATCTGACACCGTTATGTTCAAGTCGACTTACTAGGGATTCTACGATTGACCATCCATCACATTTGCCGAAGATGAGGAGTGGGTACAGTTTACTAACAAATGAACAAGCGGCGGTAGTCCAGCTCAAACGCTTCGGGAGATCTTATTGCTTAAGTTCAACCTCGTCCAAGTAGGGCCTTCTCGGATTTTTGGTGGAACACGGGAGGAGTTAAGCTCTGGAAACCCCTCCGTGTAGATGTCGCAGTCAACGCGAAAGTCAACTATCCACAGCTCGAATGCAACGCTTTTAATACGAAAGAAAAACAAGGCAAAGTTTGCTTTTGTATGACACCGTTGAACCACCTCTTGCTAAGAAAATTCAGGAAAATTTTGAGACTCGGACGGAGAGTTCTTCCGTATTCACGTTATAGCCCTGACCTCGTGCCAAATAATGCCCTTCTGCTCCCCTCTCCAAACCATCTCCTAGAGAAGAAAGCTCATCCTAACTATGATGATGTCAAAATCGACATCTGATCTTTCTTCGATCAGAATTCAGTAGAGTCCTACAAGGGAGGCATCGAGCAGCTACTAGTGTGTTGGCAATAGGTTGTAGATATTGATGGAGGGTAGCATGCCGGATGAATGGAACAAAAAGATAATGAAAATATTAAATTCAAAATTCGGCCAGTTTGTTGCAAGACTTATGGACCGACCTAATATTTTTAATTGCTTGAAAACAGAATTCATCATTGTATCCTTCCCATCGCTCAACCATAATTCTATGTAAATCCCGAGGATTGAAGAGGGTGAAGAAGTTTCATCTCCAAAGCCCGAACCGCACATATAGGCGAGCCTCCTCCCCCAGAGTGACACAGAGTCAACCGTAGCTATCGTACTTTCTCAAAAATTTCACGACCCCCCCCGCTCCAGATGGAGCCTCGACACGACCCTACACCACCATCGCTGTCTCTATAGTATTTGATTCTGACGATGAGACCAGTCGACACCACAACTTTGCCTACTTTTTAAAGGCACGAGTCAGGCTCAGTGGACGAAACCAATCCCGTTTGTCGTCTTTGTGCATGGCTACACACCCACAGAGACGTTACCATGCTCAGAATCTCAAACGGCGCCGTAAGTAAGGCCCCAGGGCACGTATTAAGCGCTTTCGCCGCCTGGCGGCGCTCCGACCGCCCACCTCCGGAAGTGGTGCGTGGCTGGCATAACGTGTGAAATCAGCTAGGTTGATTGCCGTATCAACCGATAGAACGACTGACATCTCCAGAAAACTTGTTTGTACGTGCCTCTTTCCCAAGCCAGCCTCCTTCACTGCTAGTGGGAAAGAGGGTTTTGTTAACGGCCTTGTCGACGGTTTTCTCAGTTTTTCTCCACTGTCGTTCCACTTCGCATCTCTATACTCAGTTTCAATCGCCATAATACCCCCTTATTGAGCCCGACTTTTGCCTTTAAGCACTATCCAGTGAACATATAATTTTCACCTTTTACGCTACTTTCGTTAAGTTTCGCTTGTTTTTGTTGTTTCACAAAAACTATTAAATAAGGCCCTCCCTACAAACACGACTCTACAACTTCCACGGAATATTGCCCCCCCCCCTCGTCCCACTTTCCCAAATCCACCATAACACACCGCGTTAGTGGCGTCCTCTACGAGCTCCCTCCTGTCCCCGACTACCTTTCTTCAGCACCAAATACGGCACCCACACTCCCAAAATCGCAATTACGAGCCCTATTTCAAAAAATTCGAACGGACGGTAGTAACGGGTGCTTTGCAGTTCTCCTCCTCAGGTCAGGTCACCCAAAACTGAGACACCACTCATTTCTTCGAAGCAAGCTCAGGATTAACGATAAGCCTAGGTCCAATGATGGGCTTAAGCATATAGCTAAGCCTAATCCTATACCCAAGCTTAACTTTAGGGATTCGAATCGGTGACCTGATTCCTGAAGGAGAACTGGACGTCTCCCCCAGAGCACCCCGTCCATACCCTAGGTACAACTTTGGTCTCCAAGCAGTGCACCACTATAACTTGCGCAAAAAGCGACAAGTGAAGGAGGTGATGATGAAAATTTCCTTGGTTTTCAAGAAATACGTGATGCGAAGCACCAACCAGTTGGAGGGATTGTGGCGAATATCAACTTCCAGGGCATTGTCAGGAAGTGCATGACGTAGTCACCAAAGCTTGGTGGCTCCTTCTCTGATTCATCACTTCCTTCTTCTCCCTCTTCATCATCACCGTCGTCATCATCTGCAATCATTTCACGTTAGTGAACAAAAGGCGGGTAAAATCTCGGAGACATATGAAATTTACCAGCACCAACGGTCAGCGCATCGATGAATTGTTCACGCCATGACGACGTGCCCAACATCAGTTTTGTGTTGGCATTTCTTATCATCCGGTCAACAATACCCTGAAAGCAAATTAATGAATTTTTAGCGATTTGATTTTTATTGATTATTTGTTGCCTCCCAAATACAATATGAAAGTAGAATGGGCGTCGAATCTCAAAAATAATCAAGTGAATAGGAGAAGTTGGAAAAGCGAGCTGCTTTTTTAACTCTTAAGATGTTTTTCAAAAAATTGGTGCAAGAGGTGGGAAAGAATCGGCATCACCTCTTGGAGCGAATGTCGAAAATTCACCTTGGTTCCATTATCCCTAAGAATAGTTAAAATAGCACAGAAGGATGTATTGATGTACATCCTTCTGTCTAGGTTACAGCATTTAGTTAGCCTACTTCTGTACAGAGTTAGGATGGACAGAAAGTTAGGCGAACTTAATGATAACTTAGGCTAACCGGTTTGAAGCTTTTGTCATCGTCTTCAGGCATAACCAATAGGTCTACTCTAAGGATGAACTAAAATTTGGTTGCTTGAGGTGAAGATTTAGTCCACTACATAAAATGACTCCTGTTTCAAAGGCACGTTCGAGAATTAGGCACGCCGACTCTCATCCCCTAACGGAGTAAAGAGGCGGACAAGGTCGTGCAAATTTTGTAGCTTGAAAGTGAGCGACAAAAGCGCTAGAAGCTTGCTCGACCCGCAATCCACTCTTATGTCCGCAAACCCGCTCCCTGTCGGCTGCACGTGACGCTACGAGAAAGCAACTGGGGCACTGGAGTAGCGGTAATAGTCGTCACAAGTCTTTCTCATCCTAGTGGATATGCGACGTGATCAGAGGAAGTCCTTATAGACTGAGCGCATTCGGGCAGCTCCCTTTGCTTTTTCTTCTTCGCGACACTACTACCTCAGGTTCAATGTATAAAATCTACAAATTGGAGAAATCCAGAAGAAATTCAGCCCGATCCTCAAAAGCCATAGAACGTTGCCAAAAGATTTTCACATTTCTGCCCTTTTGGTGCGAGCTTGAACTGTGTTAATACTATTATCATAAATATACTAATTAGGAGTTTTGATAGATAAATATAACACCGATTGGGTTGATTGTCTTATGGTTAGCTAAAAACCACCCAAAAAATTTACGACAGCAAACTTTATAATGTTTTTTTTTGTTTCTTTTATTTCTTTCGTTCGATTGATAAAGTAGTTTTTTCTTCTAGTTTCAGAGGTGGGTAACATTTGAGAAAAAACTTTTCTAAACACAGAAGTTCATTGGAAAACAAAACTGACCTGGAATTCCTTGCTTTCTTTGATGGTAATTTGACATTTGGGATATTCGCCAATACGTGGTTTTCCCAATTCCGCGATTTCCAACTGGTCAGCTGTCAAGCCGGCCATGTCTTCACCGCCTGCAAATTGCGTATGACAGTGAGAGAAATGTAGAGAATTGCCTGCAGCGTTTTGGGAGATCACTGCCTCCACCGTAGAGATGACTCAGAAGAAAATTGACTTTAACTTGTAAGCCGCGGCTGAACCTTTCACGCTGGTGACAAAGTTTTTGTGCAAGACCGCAGGTCGCTTGGCTAGGCGGTCATGTGGCGCGATCGCATTGGCATTAGGTGCACAGGCCTTGCCGCACCCTACTGTGGCCGGACAATTCGTCCGCATCACTCTTTACAGAGCTCAGCGAATTGATCGACCTGATAATTTGGGTCTCAAAAATCTCGCTGAGTCCCAAAGATCTAAAAAAAACGGATAGCTTGTAGGCCTGATGCCAAGGCAAGAGGAGCGAAACGGAAAATGGTGCTCGGACGAGTTGTTCGGTCACTGTAGAGTGGTAGTTACGGCCTTTGCCCAATGTTGGTGGGGTTGAGGGGTATCCCCCAAGAGGCCCATCGCGCGGCGAAGGAAGAGACGCAGACGCGGCAAAGGACGAGTCGCAGCGCATACTGTAGCGGTTAGGCGTCAGGTTAAATAGAGTGTACCATACTACGTCTCATATCGCACAGCACGCGCTGCGACTCGTCCTTTGCCGCATCTGCGTCTCTTCCTTCGCCGCGCGATGGGCCTCTTGGGGGACACCCAGGGCGAGCCGTTGACCGACGTATAGTCGGCGACGGACAAGCGATGGATCGCGGGGACGTAAGCAAACCAGCCCTTTTGGCACATCGGCTGGGACCGTATGCTGAATGTTGGGGAGGGGATGGGGTCCCCACGGGTCGACGGTTTACTTCAACTCGGTTGGTACGATAGGAGAGTACTGACGCAAGTGGTGCAGCTGGTCCAGTAGCTTCGCCAGAAGGACCGGTCTGCTCACCCTTGGACTAAGCCTAGGAGAGGGGACGGACCCGTCCTCTCTTTAAGGCTTAGTTCTAAGGTAAGCGCCAAATTGTGGCGGTTCTAAGGACCGCGTTGAAGTTGTCCGTCCACCGTCGGGGACACCATCCCCTCCCCAACATTCAGCATACGGTCCCAGCCGATGTGCCAAAAGGGCTGGTTGCTTACGTCGGGCGAGCCGTATGAGTCACACCCGTCACATGTCCTTACCTCCGACGGTAAACGTGTAGTATCATTCGCAATTCACATAATTCCTGCTTCTCAACTGTTTTAGCTGGCTCTTATCAAAAAAAATTCAGTAAAAAGTTTCTCTGCGCAAATGGTCATCTCTACGGTGGAATATCTCCACCAAGCTCTGTTTCAAACAGCAATGTGTTAGAAGACTGATTACTAAAGACTATATGCGTTACCTGAATGCAAATAAGATTCCAGACTTAAAGGCACACACCACACATGCAGAGGAACTGAAGGATAGAGTGAGCCATGCATTGTACCGTGCGAGAAAACCTTTCATGCCGGCGATCCAAGATCCCATTCGTTTTTTGAAGCGATCGTTGAGATTTGGTGAAGCAGACACAGTTCTCTTCGCCGGATCCATTGCGAGAAAATCCGATGATTTCCGAGGTCGGCCTAGAAGACGTGCTCACGCTGTTGTGCAAGTGCAAGTGTGCATAGGTGTGTGTCCTCCATTTGGAAGTTTCGGGTTACTAGGGGCAGGGACGGCTGACCAGGTCCCACAATGGGTATGGGTCCATCGACTATTTGTGGGGCCTGCCCAAAGCTGCTCTTCACTTTAGGTGTGAAGCAAGGGCTTATAGGACGGCTATATGGGTGAAAACTTACTGCGGGGGCACTCCCTATCCACCTTATCATATTAACTACAAAGTACTCTCTTGGATGAAGGACAGGTTATGGCCCCTAACACACGCAGTCTGGTCGCTTCCTGGGCATTTATGGCATATGATCGCCCACTTTCGGGGTCCTACACCTTTGTTCCTAGGAATGGATGTCGATACCCCTAGTTCAGGACCATTCCTTGGACCACAGCAGGCCGCAATCTGGAAGCATCCTAGTTCCAACTTACACCGCCGTCCTCTGATAGAAGAAATTTCAAATGAATACGATTTAAGGTTCAGAAAACTCCTATCCTATGTTTGATGTTGGAGAGCACAATGGAGTGCCCCTCCGCCTCTCCCCGAACTGGTGTTTCACCGGCTAAATGTAAATACTCGACTAACTGATCTTTCTGAAAAAATGGGCGGAAATGGTGTAGTGAGCAGGGCACTGGTTACCGCTCGCGCGGTCCGGAGATCGAATATGGTCGTTGCACGTCCGGGGCAAACAAGCCTTTCATCCTTCGGTCGTGCAATTTAATGGTCAGAACTTGTCTGAGGGGTAAAAACACTTTTACTTGTACATTATCTGACCTCGCAAAGTCTTATATAGCCAAGTCGCATTCAAAATTGCACTAATGATCGCAAGTGGAAATAGAAGGGGCGGAGCCCCAAAATGAGATTGAACCAACTTCATCCTTGTAATCGACATAATCTGAGACCAACCGCCTCAAATGGATGACGGCGACCCACTTATACTCCTTTTCAGAGCTGCCCCATTTGAAGCCATGGATAGCCCTTCCTCCTCCCCTACGGTTATGATGTAGATAGCGCCTTTAGACCTAGTTCCCTTGAACAAGATTTTTGCGTCCAGTTCAATCATTCCCAGAAAAAAATACGGGACCCTTGACGTTCTTAACGATAGGTATTCGATCTGGTTTTATCCCTGCCTTACTCCACACCTGCCGCTCGTGCAGGACGTGTACTCACTTGTGGCTCTCTTGGACAACTTCACCGTACTAAACAGAGAGGGTTTGATCAAATGGGAAAGTTCGGAAAAAAGGTTTATCACAAAGGAAAGGGAGCGGTGATGTGGAGAGTGTTTATCCGTTCGTAAGAAGTAGTGAGGAAAAGGTAACACGAGCATCAGACAGATGAACGTGGGATTAACCTGGTTCACTGCTTTCTCTGGATTCCGAAGCAATAGATGCTCTGCGCTTCTGTTCCATACGACGTTGGAATCGTTCTTGCACCTTGCTCAGATCTGCACAATCACGACACGTTAAGCTACAGAGGCATTCAAGAAATTCCATCACGAGTTCAGCCACAAATTTCATGATTTTTAGCAACACTTTTGCAAATTGGTCTATGTCGATACCAAGTTTGAGAAAGGGGCACGTTGAATGCCACCTTTGAATGCTACGCGGGTCAAATCGCGTCGATACAAAGTACCGCTGATACATCGGTGAAGCGGGGTTATTTCAACTTATGAGAGCTGCGTGTTTTAGCGCGCAGGTAAGAGTCGCGGTACTGCTCTTGATCCCATAACCCTAGAGCCCCGTTTAACCCGCTCGGCCTCAAAAGAGTCGATCAGCTTCTATGAAAAGCTTAATCGCGGGGAGAAAGTGAATTAAGCACCGGCAAATCACTACTTATCGTGATGGACTCTGTACATTTCCAGATTTTCGTCACTTTCGAAGCGTAGTAGAGGGCCCGGCGCATTCTTAACCTTTTGTTCGACGTGCTGTCCTTTCTTATTCTTATCCCTATTCGAGGTCCAAATTAATGACCAACATGAAGAATGCGGATATCATGGAGATGGTTTGCTCAAAAACCATGAAACTATGAACGTGACTGAACATATTTCTACAGCAGCTCTGCATCTCTTGCTAGCTGAGTTACACTTGATCACCCTCTCCATTTCCGAGATGAATGCGGTTAAGGTAATTTAGGTTTTCCTTCAAATTTCTACGTCGCCCGGAAAAGAGAGATGGTGACAAGAAATTGGTATATGTATATTGAGAGAGAAATGGTATTGTTCGAAAATATTGTCAAAAATAACCCAACAGGACTATAGCAAGGGCATATGCTTCAGTGAAGGCACATGGGACAACTATCAGTCTGTCCTTCATGGTTATATAATTTAAATATATATGATATATATAATATCCTACTATATATAAGCGGCTAGCGTGTGTCTGTTGGTGTGTGTGTGTGTGTGTGTATGTTTGAACGGAAATTCATAGCTCGAGTCACAGTAACGATAGCGCAGTGGTTCTTACATATGTTATAGGGGGTGGGATGGGGACACAAGTGGTACGTGATAGGAACTGATAACGACTGATAATAGCTGATAAGAGGGGCTAGAAAGCGAGCATCGCCAATTTCGTTTTGCCGTTCATATTGGTAAAAGAGCGTCTATACTTACAAGTCTTATGTGGGGCGGTCCCGGGACATTGGTGGTACATGATTGGAAGCGATAGCAACTGATAATGGCTGATAAGATGCGCAACGCAAAGTCGTCGATTCCGTTGCCTGGCTCGCGTTGACACCAGAGCAACCATACTTACAAGTGTTATGTGGGGTGGGACGGGGACATTGTTGGGGTGATAGAAAGTGATTACAACTGATAAGGGCTGATAAGGCGCGTCAGAACGCAAAGTCGTCGATTCCGTTACCTGGCTCGCGTTGACACCAGAGCAACCATACTTACAAGTGTTATGTGGGGTGGGACGGGGACATTGTTGGTGGGTGCCAGAAACTGATAACGATTGATAAGGGCCGATAAGGCGCGCCAGAACGCTGAAGTCGTCGATTCCGTTGCCTGGCTCGCGTTGACACCAGAGCAACCATACTTACAAGTGTTATGTGGGGTGGGACGGGGACATTGTTGGTGGGTGCCAGAAACTGATAACGATTGATAAGGGCCGATAAGGCGCGCCAGAACGCTGAAGTCGTCGATTCCGTTGCCTGGCTCGCGTTGACACCAGAGCAACCATACTTACAAGTGTTATGTGGGGTGGGACGGGGACATTGTTGGTGGGTGCCAGAAACTGATAACGATTGATAAGGGCCGATAAGGCGCGCCAGAACGCTGAAGTCGTCGATTCCGTTGCCTGGCTCGCGTTGACACCAGAGCAACCATACTTACAAGTGTTATGTGGGGTGGGACGGGGACATTGTTGGTGGGTGCCAGAAACTGATAACGATTGATAAGGGCCGATAAGGCGCGCCAGAACGCTGAAGTCGTCGATTCCGTTGCCTGGCTCGCGTTGACACCAGAGCAACCATACTTACAAGTGTTATGTGGGGTGGGACGGGGACATTGTTGGTGGGTGCCAGAAACTGATAACGATTGATAAGGGCCGATAAGGCGCGCCAGAACGCTGAAGTCGTCGATTCCGTTGCCTGGCTCGCGTTGACACCAGAGCAACCATACTTACAAGTGTTATGTGGGGTGGGACGGGGACATTGTTGGTGGGTGCCAGAAACTGATAACGATTGATAAGGGCCGATAAGGCGCGCCAGAACGCTGAAGTCGTCGATTCCGTTGCCTGGCTCGCGTTGACACAGAGCAACCATACTTACAAGTGTTATGTGGGGTGGGACGGGGACATTGTTGGTGGGTGCCAGAAACTGATAACGATTGATAAGGGCCGATAAGGCGCGCCAGAACGCTGAAGTCGTCGATTCCGTTACGCAGCGTTGACACTAGAGCGTTCCTACTTACAAATTGTAGTAAGTCGTAGTAGTACAAACAAAGGTACGTGCACATTATTTCGAATTGTTATTTTAGTATATAATATGCCAGGCTCGTTTGCTTATATATGCAGTCGGATTGCATGAATTCAATCAAGTCTTCAGCAAATGATAACTTTCATTTCTATCACGAAAGCCCAAACTCATTAAACCGCTAATCCTTTCGGGGTTCTAAATAATGGTGAATGTAAATAAATGATAAGCCTTAGCTCTTCACTTATGTATGTAAATAGGCATTATCTTCGTTTTATTTCTGAGATTGACAGCAATCCTATTCAGGTCCGATGGGAAAAGTCTGGAATTCGAAGGTAAATCATGTTTGGTATGTTCTAGAAGCTTGTGAGATAAGCCTCACACTCAGGCGTCTATACGTGGTTAGCCATCGTCGATCCGCTGCTGTATTCTCGATAGCTTCAGTGAAAGGCGTGCTAACACAGTCCAATAGTGGTTAATGGGGGTTTCTAGTACGACATGCTGATATTCCTATGGGTCCTCCATATTTCGCTAAGGCTGCCTGTGGCATGCGCGCGGGAATAGGCGGGCGAAGGCAAAACTGGTATAAATATATATGGTTACATATATAAATATCATGGACACCACTGTGGTAAACCTAGGTTGTGTAACTTTGTGCTGAACTGAAAGTGCGGATGCAGAGTGGTAATATTCAAATGGCTTTTATTACGGTACTCAGTCAATTAAGAGGAGAAGAGAGGGCATGTGTGGTACAACAGTTCAGATCCTTACAGAAGTTCCAGTTTTTGAAAGGATAGGAAATCCCCGAGGGTGCGTGAACGATTTCGCTCCAGCTTTCACAAGCACTTCAAAGCATTCTTCCCCGGAAAAGTGGATTAGTTCAGGCGATATGAACTGTCACATTATATGCTCCCCTTACTGAATAAGAACTTGACTATTTAAAAAAAACCTTAAATTTAAAAATGCAACAAAAATTTGCGATGGAAGGAGTTTAATTTTTGCTAACAAGCACGTGAAAATACTGACGGTCTTCGGTAATCAGTGTATTTCCAAGATTTGCTTTTTTCTCCGAGTAATTGTTATTTCCTTCTTTTTCACCCTCATCGCTTTCTTCCGTACTTTAACTTCATCTGTCGGAGAAGTAGCAATGTTGTTACCGCAGACGCCTTATCTTTAGGTGGCCTTTTAAGATTCGAGGGTCTAGGAACGTACCAAAGCAACGTCGTTCTGTTAAATATGGCGTGAAATTTTTGTCGAAATCGTCCCGGTAGCTATCATGTTCTGGTGTTACCCATTTGGTCTGAAGGTGGAACGGAATAACATCAATGTGATCTGTTCATCTCGGGTAGGCGGGGTTTGCAGGGGAAGCCGGGATTCTCGGTGATACAGTGTGTACAGAATTTTAGCATTTAATATTAGGATAGAAATTTCCTCGAACAATCCATATAATCCCCTAACCATAAAGCGCAAAGAGCAGGAGATGGGGGGCCGCGATAATATATACCACACCTCAGTCACTTTTTTGATAGCACCGACTTTTAGTAGTTTGAGGAACTCGACACTCATTCAGCGCCATGCCTTTTTACACGAGTACTAATGCGCTCCACCTTGTGAATCTGTTCTTGTTGAACCAGTGCCTGCATAAGTGCTGCAGTTAGCGGTAAGGAGAGGGCTGATCAAACTCGCGCAACAATTGCAGAGCTGTTGTAGAAATTTTGTGCAAATGTATTGCGGAAACGAAACACGACACGATTGACATCGTACTGTGCTCCATACTAGAAGCTCTCACAAGAAATAGACAACATTCCGAGGAGAAGTGTCTCAGAAGAATAGGTAAGAAGAAAGACACCTACCGAAAGTTAAAGGAAATTCTGAAGAATTCTCTAGCCAGCTAGGAGCTGAGCAAAAATTCGACAATCAGTCACTCACCGCTCATCTTCTTTGCCCAAATGGGTGGGCCGAGTTCGATGAAGAAGTAGTCCGACCGTTCATATTGCTCCGTATCCATTACACCAATTTCGATAAAGGCTCTAAATTGACAGCAATGAAATTATTGCATGGGACTTTTCCTTTCCCATTCTTCGTTATAGGTTCTCTTGCAATCGGTACTTTTTTTTCGTTTTCTTCCATAGATCATCGTAAAAGGCTACCTGCTAGTATGATGTTTGGCGACCTTTTATTGGTCCATGGACGGTGTAAAATAAAAAACATAAATGTGTCAATTAAGAAGATGCACAGACAAAAGGAAATATTTAGGAAATTAGGAAAAACGAACAGTATTCCCCTTCCCCCTACCCTCATTTACGCTCTAGCAGGGGTGGGCGGACTACTAAGTTGGTATCCGGAGGTCGCTTTCCCCGCTGGGCGGCTTGCAATGTTGGCCGGCCATTGCCCTTCTCCTCCTAGGTGGCCCTTTGGATCCTCCCGCCTCCCCCCCCCCCGTACTCTATTAGCCAATCAGCTGCTTTTCAAAACTTGTTTCATAACTTTACTTTGAACTCCTGTATTATCCTAAGCTTCCCGTATTAATTTGCTGTACATGTATATATTGCATATATTTATATATTTAATGCTATTTGTTGTTACTGTCCCCATTTTAAAGGCAAACTCCGGAATTAAACTGGTGCTAAGAGCGCTTCGCAGTGATAGCTTAGCTGCGGAGCGACCCCAAAGTGGAGAGGGAAGCGAGAGAACTCTTTGGGAACGCTGAACTTAAGGCCTTAACCTTTCAAAAAGGTCGGATGTGGTACGACGGCAAGACAGGGCGATCAGAGAGGTCAAAACACGCGAGAGAGAACGTCGTTTGAGAGAGCACGCTGATCTCTACATCAATGCACGCTGATCTCACCACATCTCGCGGTGGGTGGGAAGCGTTCGATGGTTGGAGGCCCGTAAGGATTAGCGCCCTAACCGCGCGATTTTCGCGACCAAGTTGAAGTGATCTAGGTAGGTACGGGTCTTACAATTTCCCTCGCGGTATCCTTCCTACTAGTCGGGCTAATCCCGGGCCATTTAAATATAACATTGTCTCATTTGGAATAGTAAATAAATAAATAAATTATTTATCTCGGCGCTAATGTCGAGAGCATGGCGCACTAAGCAATGGTGAGCCTTCTATTTTTTTCAGCTTTTTCTACCTTGTCAGTTGACTTGTGATACTATAGAAAGCTGCACCTCACAGTCGATACTGCAAATAACCCGGCTGCTTACGTAAGAAAATTCCAAACTATGGACGAAACACGTGTATGATTCATTAATCTGTCAATACACTCAAGCACCACGCAGTAATGTAATGGATCAACCCAGTGCTCAGAATCCATGGGACTTGTACGTGTTCGTTTTTAAGATTTTATGATCATGACTGACAATGATCGCAAATGACCAATAACATACTAAGCTTTGAAGGCGTGCCTCGGGACCGACCTTGATCTTGTGTGGTTCTTGGTTCACTCTATATGAAAGTGCTGGTGCGAAATGGGCGCGCAGTTAGAGAAACAGGACATTTATTCTTCGAAATCCTCTAGCCCATCTGCCGCACTACTGATGGTGAGGTGAGAAAGCCTGATGTTTCTATCACCTCAGCAGTGCGGCTTTGCTATGGCAATGAGCAGGGAGAGGACAGTATGGGAGGACAGCGAGTAGCAGAGGTCAGGGCGTCAAATAACAGTCCTGCTACGGACGGAGAAACAGTGAAGCTGGCTAAAGCTGCCTTTGCCGCAGTGGCAGCTATGCGCGTTAGATGTGGCGCGCCTTGCGTGGGATTCCAACATCTTCCTGAGGGTTGATGTTTCTTCAAAGGTGTTGACCTGCAAAGACTGGACGAACCGCTTCACTTGGACTGTCGTGCCAGGATTCTGCTTCGAAGATTCCTCCACTGATGGCATTGGGTTCAAAAAAAACTCTAAAAAGCTCCAAAATCTACCGCCCTACCACTAAACAAGAAAGAAAAATAAAGCGCAGGGAACGGATTAGATAAGAGTCCGTCGTGCTACCCCTTTCTCTTGTATTGTGCGGCATTTAAGGGAACTCGTTTCTCCGAAAACATCGTGATTCTTACCTCACCGATAATGTAACTGTGCTTCGGATCCATCGTCCGATGAGAACAAAGAGAAAAAAATTGCTTTTTTTGTTTAGAGTGGCATAGTGGCCCGCATCACAGCGGTTTTGGTGGCTAGCTCAGCTGGCCTCAATAGATAGTTCCTTGGTATGACTCAGTGGCCTGGACGATTAAAAAGGTTGTGCGGACGATTTTGCGGATTGTGCGGGTGAAGGATTGTGGAATAGCTAGACCGATACTAGGCTGGAAAGGCAGGTACGGCGAAATGCGTTCTTGTGATGGTTTACCTGTATATACCCAGATACAATGATGCGGAAGACAGAGCCCTTATAGGACCATTAGCAACTGTACTCAGGCGTCTAATCTCATAACGTTTCCGGCTCAAGACAGCTTTGGAGTCTAGCTGCGTTCAGCGTTAAAACAGGGTGGCTGAGTGGGCGGGAGCTGCTTTACATTTAGTAGGATGGTTGAGCTATGAGGCGGAATCGCGGGTAAAGCATTCACAAGGGATGGTTTCGTATGGGCTTTGACAGAGGAGACCCGTTTTGGATACTCACGACGAAATCGCCTTTCTCGTAAGACGTCAAAGGCTTAATAATAAAAGTGATTTTCCACTCGCTTAAAAAAAACTCTAATATGTGGCGACGACGGCAACTTGATATTCGCCAAGAACACATTAACTGGATAAGATGAACGTCCAGTGCTCTCTCTCTTATAGGACCAAAGGAAGCCGTAACGACATAATCGCTTCGTAAGTTCCTGGTGAAGGACTATCAGTGTGCGTTTTTCCGTCGATAAGCATCGTATGATAGATAGATAGTGCAATAAAACCGAGATGGAGAAAGGCCTGCGATAGCGCGTTCAGGAAGTTTACGGCTCCGGACATTGTCAAGGTCGCAGCAGACGTGGTTTGGCGAACGAAATCCATGACTCGGGCCTCCAAGAGTCCTGGAGACCTGGCAGTGACAAAAGGAACGGTCGCGTTTCCACTTGGTTCTCGGGTTGCAATTACTAGAAACGCTTTCCGGCATCATTTTTAGAATGCGATAACATTTCGCTTGGACTTGTTACTGCGATCGCTATTACGCTATACGAGTTTACCATCTCACTTCTACTCCATCCTATTCTATCGATCGATTTGTCTCTACTCTCCGAAATCGCGCGCTTTAACCCGATTCTTTCATTGCGTCGCCTGATACGTAGCCGGCCCAAGGCGGACTTCTTTCCATGCCTCGCCTTTGGCTCCGCCCACTTACCTTCGATTGTCCATAGAGTGTGTTTTTGTAAGTTTGTTTCTCTTCGGAAACCGAATCTTCATGCGTGAAACTTTGTGTGCTGTTTCTAGTGATCACAACTGACATATTCATGTTGGGAAAGAATGCAAGATTTTTCCGGAAGGATTCCTTCGAATCAGCGCGTTCTTGAGATGCAGAGAGACACATGAAACTGGGTGGGTACATAAATTATTACATTGCCGTTTGTTAGCCCAGCTATCTATGATTTAACGTTTATTGCTCCCACTCTACTTGGAGCCTTGATTTTTCAGAGCGATTCAATAATCGATCCATTTCCACATTTTTGTTCGAATTTTTTGTTTCAATTTTTTTGTTAACTTTTAGCTTTCTAGCCTGTATGAGTGTATCGTGTACAGAAATTGGGTATCAGATAGAGAACGCAAGGGAGATGGGAGTGGGCATCATGAAGGTCAGATGTGGACAGTGTCATGACGGAATCACGGGTACGTTCCCGAGATAGTCAGTTAGTTCTGCACGAGTGTGTTTCATTCTCCGCCACAGGTCGGTCAGCTACAACTAGAACAGCCCTCATTTGCTCGTAGCAGGCCTAAGACTAAGCCTAAGCGCCAACCATAGACTCAAGCATAAGCCAAGGTGTAAGCATAAGCCTAAGCCCAAGCTCAAGCACAATCTTGGGCTTCAATGATCGCGCAACTCTGGTGATCTGAGGGAGGAGAATTGAATTCCTCTCCGCGCAAGGACATTCTACTACTTGGATATAGTATTAGATATAGTAGTAGATAATTACGGCCTTCTCGCAGCCCTATGACTTTTCGACAACGCGGAAAAATAGATGAGAAATCACATAAATGAAGAGCAAAGCAAAAAACGCAACAGCTTGGATGAAACCCTTGTTCTAGGAAGACCGATTTCTCCGTTCGGTTCCAGTCCAGGCTATAGGAGCCCTACTCTCTAGCGAGCAACCTTGCGCATATTGTAACCAGATTTCCCACTTCTTCGACTCCTCACTAGTTTTGCAATCAATAGGATTTTCAGAGTAAT